CCTCGAACTGAAATCAGGCTGATAGAGGACAAATTATGGGAGACCCATGGCTGGGCTAGGTGCGCCAGGTGATGGTGCGCCCAGCCCAGGTGTTCTGCCACCATGGGTCGTCACAGCGGCGCCTGAATTGGAGGGGAAAACTGGTGCAATGTCGCAACAATCGCGACTGGCAGCTTTCAATTTGAAATTCAGATCTTATCCTTACTGTTTGGGCTAAATTGTTAGCATGGTCGAGGTTGTCCTGAGTAGGGGAGTTGGCTGGTGGTATGTTCCGGTCAGGAAGGTGGCCAGACGGCTTGATTCCGGCGTTTGACCGCATTTCATGTGGCGAAGTTTGAAGTTCGATTCCGGTCAAATCTGCCAGAGTTGGGGCTGGTGGTTAGGTGGGTTGTGAAGAGGGCAATGAGGGCTTCAAAGTGGTATGTTGGTTCGGCGGCCAAGGTGATCGGAGGTTGGAGATTTTGCCTTCAAAGGTGGCTACTTAAGGGTGATGGTTTTTTCATATTTGTGACTAATTTGCACCTTTGGCCGGTGGTATGTTCCGGCCAGGAAGGTGGCCGGACGGCTTGATTCCGGCGTTTGACCGCATTTCATGTGGCGAAGTTTGAAGTTCGATTCCGGTCAAATCTGCCAGAGTTGGGGCTAGTGGTTGGGTGGGTTGTGAAGAGGGCAATGAGGGCTTCAAGGTGGTATGTCGGTCCGGCGGCCAAGTTGATCGGAGATTGGGGATTTTGCCTTCAAAGGTGGCGGTTTAAGGGTGATGATTTTCTCATATTTGTGACTAATGTGCACCTTTTTAGAAGTTTGAACTCATAATTGCAATTTATTCTTTATTTTTCTTTTCTTTTGTGTTTGTTTTATTTTAATAGAAGGGTAAAATGGTAAAAAAGAGACGAAAAGGATGTTCTGCAATCCAAGAAAGATTTTTTTTGTTCTTTTTGAAATTTTGAACCTATTAATGCATTTTATTCTTTATTTTTCTTTTCTTTTGTGGTTGTTTTATTCTAATGGTGGGGTAAAATGGTAAAAAAGAGACGAAAAGGATGTTCTGCGCCAAAAATATAAAAGGTAGGGACGTTTTGAGCCAAAAAACGAAAGGTAGGGACGTTTTGCACAAAAACGTGCAAAGGTAGGGACGTTTTGCGCCAATTACCCTTATACAAATAATAAAGGGTGGATTGGTGGAGTTGTTTAGTTGTCTTTGGAATTTAGTTATCATTTAGACATGGAATTGTATGTGCTATCAATAAATATCTTAGCAAAGGATTTTGGAAGCTAAATGAGCAATGCACTTTTTTATACTTGAAAAGCATCGTTTTCAAGAGTGCCCTGCGGTTAAGGCTTGATGTGCATCTTGTGTGAAGCCTTCACTAAGGTATAAGTCTTGGGGCGGCAAAGCTATGCCCCTTTAGTCTTTCCATTTCTGAATTTTTTTATCGACCAACAAATATGTAAGTTGAAAGGTCATACATAGCTTTTGAACTCATGTGGCTTTCAGAATGATAGAACCAAGGGTCTTCTAGCTTTCTGTATATAGTAGTTGGCATATTTTCTTCCTACAAATCAGCTGTCTCTATGTTGAATCTTTGTGTTCTCACAGACAATTAGCGTTCTTTCCCTTTTTCAAATCTTCAACCTTTTCTTTTAGAGAAAAGGGGAAACGTGGCTCTTTTCTACCTCTCATTGTCTTTCGTTCTCTTCCAATTTCGTTGATGACCAGGTAGTGTACATTGCTATTGTTGGATCATTCCCATTCAACTCCAGTCTTTCGTTCTCTTCCAATTTTGTTGATGACCAGGTAGTGTACATGGCTATTGTTGGATCATTCCCATTCAACTCCTTTCTTTCTGGGGTACTTTCTTGTGTAGGGACTGCGGTCCTTGCTGGTAAGCTGATGTGCTGATTGTTATTTATTTACTAGATCTGCAAAAGTGAATAGTTTGCAACTGATCGATGTCATTCATTGTGACAGTGTGTCTACGTATCCAAGTAAACAAAGAAAACAAGGAATTCAAGGTAATTTTTTTTCTTTTTCCGAGAGCAGATTCAACATCTGGTTGGTGCAATATTTTTATCGTTTTCGGCTACACGTTGTGGGAGAAATGCAAAAGGCTTAGCTTGAAAGTGCTTTTAAATAACCCTTTTTTTCCCTCAAAATTTTACTTATAAGAAAACTTCTAAAGCTTAGCCGATTATGCTCTTATAACGGTTGCCTTTGTAGTTTATGTTTCACATTATGGCTTTGGTATCATATACTTCCTTGTCCAGTGTAAAATGAAAAGCATGTGGTTGTTCTTTTGGTCTGAAAGACGAGCAATTTCACTTCATCGAACTATTTTGAGATGAAATGTTCTCTTATTCTTTTCCGTTTGACGCCTTGTGCTTGGCATTTGCAGGATTTACCTCCAGAACGTGCTTTTGCTGATTTTGTTCTCTGCAATTTGGTGCTTCATTTGGTTATCATGAACTTCCTCGGATAGGTTAGTTTCCTCGGAAAAGAACAGTTGGTTTCAAGTTTTGATAATTAGGCAAGCACAAGTTGACATTTGCAAGAAAATTCTGTTTATGAGCAACAAAAGTTAAGTAAAACACTCTTTTAACTGTTGTCTTTGGTGTTAAAAGACATTTGCTTGTCCCTTGTCTCGTAAGGTGGATGCTGGACAATATGAACAAAAATGTGGTATAATCTTGTTCATTGTACTGTTTATGAAACACGTGTAATTGAAGGTTAATATTTTTGTTTATTGCAATTTCCCGATGATTCATCTAGCTTCCTTAAATATGAACTTTGTAAGTTACCGGATGACGACACCAAATCTGTTGCTACTAAGTTAAAATTCAATTTCAACCACACATTTTTTAATAAAATAATATTTTTCATTACATCAATAACTAATAACTGTAAGTTAAGGATGATCCCTGTTTTGTGTTGCTGCTACAGTACTGATATAGCCATGTCTGGAGAGAGAACTTAAAATGTCTTTTCCTTCTAATCATTTTTATGAGCACAAAGGGCACGCTTGTCGGGTTTTTGAAAAGTCAAAAACTTCTTAGGGGACTAAGAAGATGCTTTTGAACCTAGAACCTAATTAAAGTTGGATAATATTCTAGAAGTGGTTTGTCTGGCTAAAAGAGATTTTAGATGAAATTGTTCCAAGCTTTTCAAAAACTTCTTTCGAGACTAAGAAACTGCTTTTGAACCTAATTAAATTTGGATAATATTCTAGAAGTGATTTGTCTGGTTAAAAGAGATTTTAGATGAAGTCGATCCAAGTTAACTTAGTTAAAAAACTTTTCTACAAAAAACAAAAAGAAGTAGAAATCTTTCCAAACGTGCTCCAGATGTTCAAAAGCAAAATGCACTTCTTCCATTAGCTTCTGTATGGGTGATTCTTCTTTCGTGAAGTACCGAGATTTTTGTAAGTCCTTGAAGTAAGGGAGAGGAGAAATAGAAATCGAATGAGCAAGCAAATATTTACCAATGTCAGAAAAGCAAATCAATGTGCTTTTTAATAATTTAGAGTCTAATTTTTTACTTTTACAATATTTGTATATACACTAGTAATGCTTTCTTAAAATTGAGGTCTTCCGGTATACTATATTTAGTTAAGCTAACTGTATATAATTTTTTATAGATTGTTGACGGATAAATTCAAAGGGTCAAAATATATGTCGCTCCAGCATCTCTCAACAAACGTGTGAAAAAATTATTGTACAAGTAGCTTAACTCTATTAGGGTCCGTTTGATGGCAATGGTGGAAAATGGGTGGAAATAAAATGAATTACAGTGAGAGTAATTATCTAGAACTTGTTTTTCAGAGAATTGTTAATTAAGTGTGTTTGATTGATATAATTTTTCACCTGGCCCGTTTAACTTTTTTCTTGAAAATTGTTAATTAAAGTGATAAAATTTCTTACAATTGGAGATAAAATTTGTTTAGATTGCCAAAAAATAAATTTAAAAATTTAAATTAAAAAAAATTGTGTTCGTTTGACTTTGTTTTTCATGAAAATTAACAATTAAAGGGATAATTTCTCTTATAATTGGGGGTAAAATTTATTTCTATTGCTAAAAAAAAAATAACAAAAAATGGAAAATTGTTTCCCACCAAAACCAAAGGAATTGGAATTCCTTAAAATGAAGGAAAAGCCGGTCACGTGGGCAAAACCAAGAAAAGTAATTCAGATAAAAAAAAGGTTATCAAATATGACAAAAAGTTGAAATTGGCAAAAATTTTCCATTTTCCCTAGAAAAAGCAACATATCAAACATGCTCTTATATTTCGAAGTAAAAAGGGAAAAAAAATAAAAACAATTGTTAGAAGAATAATACTACTTATACATAATGATTTACATAACATATTACATACACGTGATATGATGATATATGATTCAGTCATAAGTTGAAGTAAATAATAAAAAAAAAGAATCACCACTTTTTTTGATATCTCATATGTATGTAAATCATTATATACATGAAAAAAGAGACTACAATGAATTCAGCTGGCAATACCAAATCCGACCTTTCACATTTATTCATGACTCATCTCATTTGTATGTTCGTTCAAGATGAGAGCTAATGTGGGCCTAATATATTATTGTTTTATTTTTTTTAATTGTACGATTGTTCAAGATGAGAGCTAATGTTGGCCTAATATATTATAGATTAAACTACTCGTATACACAAAATGTATATCTTGATTGATATCTTTCTGTGTAAAAAATTTGACAGTTAATTGAAAAATGTATTGTCAAGATAAATGTACTAAAATATGTTAATTCACATGGGTGTAAACTATTGTGTCAACTTTTATTCACATGGAGCAGGGTCCATATGTCATTGATTTATTTTTCGTTAAATTTGGTTCGTTTATTCATTATGGCACGTGAGAGCCGACTGGCTAGCAGATGTGGCTCATCGTGCCATCCTGAAGGTCCAATTTTGAAGGTTTTGTGAGCCATGATGCATAAAACAATTTTTGGATTCACTTGACCAATTTTTCCTTGATTTCAAGACGTGATCAATTTTCGAAAAATGTTCTGTGAAAAAAATATCGATCAAACGTCCAAAAATAGAAACTTGGATCTATCAAACACAATCAGCTAAGATCGAATTTGGAATATCACACAGATTAATATAATTAAATATTAATTAAGGCTTCACCAGAAAGAAATAAGTACCAGAAAAGAATATGATATTTATACGCGCACTGATTCAGTTCTAGTGTTCAACTCGTCTTCGCTCAACAACTTTGCCAAATTCGGACTCTTCGTCCAGCATATTCCTCCATCTCGTAACCGTAAGAGCGTGAGTTCAACGAGGAGGCAGAGAATTTAAAGGAAAAATGGTGCGTAAGCGATTGCTGCTGCTGTTAAAGCCACTCGATGTGTACCCATCTCATGAATCCATCGCCTGCTCCGCCTTCTCCTCCAACCGCAATAGGGTAACGCTTCCTTGACATACTTTAATGCAGGACAAAAGGGGGCCATTCCCAAAACCCACTACTTTTCTTCAACGATTATTGCATTTTTTGGATTAAAAGCCAACTTGTGTATAGTCTACCATGTGTTTGATAATATTTCAAGATTGCTGTTAGGGGAAATAAACACTGCATATATCAAAACAGTGTACACTGTGAATGATATTTCAACGATTATTGTACACTGTGAATGATATTTGCATCGAGGCTGCTGATGAAGAACATGGATATAAAAGAAAATTAATTTGATTAAGAAATGGGGAAAATTCAATTTGATATCAATTGTGGGTTAATCAAAGTGAATCTAGTTTAGTGATCCTCTTGACTGGATTTAACTTATAGATATACTGACACCATATTTACTCATGAAGATCACTTGCTAGTGGGAAAAATGGTGTATATTGATGAGATAGAGAATCTAACTGTGCCTATACTGATCATCCTATTGATAGGCGTGTAAGAAGAAACATGATTACTGGGTTTATGATTGTCCCAAATTAGAAAGTACATGAAGGCATGAATGGATTATACATCCAAATATTATAAATAAAACTAAAATATCGATTTAATAAACACTGGCTATATCCATTCCTGCTCATTCAAGGTCTACTACTTTATGCATAGTGCTCGAGTTAAGAGTTTCTCTTAGAGATAATAAATCAATGTGTTAAAGTTACCCTTTTAATTTTCACACTTGCTTTCCCAGGACATATAATTTTATGTCCAGTTTCTTCTAGTGGCATTATGATTTATTAAAGATATAGTGGTAGGTTGCTGACCCAACAAAAAATTAAATGTACCTACTGGTATGTGCATTTGAACATGATTTAGTTACACTTATGTGGCTTGAAACTTCATGAAGACCTTTGGGGAATGATGTGATTAAGATTTCCGAAAAGTGTTCACTTTATTTGTTTGGCTGCTATAATTTATCTGAGGGTTTTGTGATCCCTTTTTTTCCCAGATAACGCTTTTTCATTTAAAATCTTTAATGTATTGACGGTACACTATCATTCTGGTTGCACTTTTACTCTGGATATTATTCCACAGGTTTTTTTTAAAAAAATATAACTTTGCACCATCAGCTGCAAAGTTATTTCTATTACTATAAATTTTGATCATCAGAACAAATTAACTTTTGATAATTAAAATTTCCATAGTTTTCCATTTCTGTGCTGTTAGAAAATATCCTGTGCAAGCTTGTTGGCCTCACATTAAAAGACCTCTATACATATTGCTTTACAGCTCCAAGAAAAATGTATTCATATCAAATATTAGAGCATTAGAGGCTATAATTTGGAAGAATAAATCTAAAATGTTGGCTTCTAGTCAAGCAATATATGCTTATTTTTTAAATCGCTTATGCTCTAATTATAAAATTAAGTAGAACGTATTTATTTCAATANTTCCAGTTCTAGGAGTGAATTCTGATCCTACCCAACAGGAAGAGGTCAGATCATTTCTTGGATTTCTGTGTTTATTTTGAGTTTAGAGTGCTGCTTCTGGTAATAATTTCCAACCTTTGAACTTGCTAAAAAATATAGGAATTCTTTTTTAGCTTCCCTTTGCCAAAGAAGTTTGTCTTATTTACTTAGGTGGAAGAATTCAGTGAAGAATTTGATGCTACAAGGAGCACTGGTTATCTTTGTGCAGCAACAACCAACAACTTCGAACAAGTGAGACTACTACTTTAGACATTACTTCTTAGATAAGCTTGTGATTTTCCAACTCCTATTTAGTCGTTGATTCTGCTAGAAAAACTGGCAGCATATGTTGTCCATGGGTGTGTTTATTTCACTGGAGAACTTCTAGTGTTCCAAATATATGAGATTCAGATTTGCAGCCTTCATTAAATGGATAAATTAACTTTGTAGATTTCTGTAAAAACACAAGTAATTTGAGCAATGAAGAAGGAAATTTCAAAATATCTTTGGAACATAGCTATTCATCAGAAGTGAAGGACCTTAGATCAACTATTTGCTTATGAGATCGAAATGTTATACATCTGATCTTTTAAAAACGTGCTGCACTTGTAGGTTTCAGATCATTGGGAGGGATCCTTGAAATTTGAATAATTTTATGGAAAATAACATGTTACGAAGATGGAGAAAATAAATAAAATACTACACCTGTCTTTCAAAATTTTTGAAAGGTGATAGTAAACATCTTTTGCGTTAGATTCCTGTGATTTATTGAAATTATTTTTTAATAGACCTAAGGGCTTATTAGATTCGACATTTTCATTCCCAAGTTACAGTTATCTATATATTTTAAGTACTTTCCACTCTCTATCAATCCTCTATTTTGTTGAATGATATATAAATAGAAGGAACCATAAGAGAAATATAGAATGAGATTTCTCTTTCCCAAGTCTGTTACTTGTTACTTTATTTGGGATATAGATTGATTACACAGAAAACACGACGTCAACTGACAAATTTTAACTTGTCATAAACATTAATTTTTCTAATAACTTGCATTAATGTCAAGATAAGAACGTCTAATATTTATATCACTTCTCGATCCACATTAACTCAATTTAGAATAAGTAAATAAGGCAGCCACAATCTAGGACCGCCTAAACGTTGACTTTCTTTGGGTGCACCTGGCTGAACAAATTTTCCGGATAAGTGCAAACTGATTATTCATGAAGTTTCTTCTGCACATTTCTGTTTTTTAGCTAGCACAATAAATCATGCAGCCATGCATAACAAGGAATTTCCTTTTATCGTCATTCTTGCTAACTCTTATGAAGCATAGCTCATTGATTTAAGCTTCTTTTTGTAGCTATTAGATGACATCCTTGAGAATCGCAGTGAACCTTCTGAAGTATCTAGGATGGCTATTAGTGTCAACTCAAAGCTGATTTCAACTTTTGCTCTAAATGACATTCTAGTCGCGCATCCATGTCCTGCAACAGTTTCTCGATTCTCATTCGGGTAAGAAGATTTGCTTTACAACGTGAAGAATGGTATACTGCTCTAGTGCGTCACCAAGAACTTACATAGTCAGTTGACATTCTTGTGTTATTACCTATTAGGATCAGGAAAGATGGAACATCTCAAACTTCTTTACTAAACTGTAAATCAAGTGGGTTTAGGGTCTCGACAGCTGTTGGATCAACAGCTGCAATGCTTTCGGCAGGTGGATTTACAATGCCCATCTTGTCCAAGGAACTCCAATACAAGGTAAGGGAGCCCATTGCTCCGGGGACCAGTGCTCATTCGATGCACGGGCTGGTGAAATTCGAAGATACAATGGATATTACTTGGTTTTGTAGAGAGGGAAACATATATATTGATGGTTCCCATGTTGTTCATTCTATTCAACATGGAGACACGATTGGGCTCTCTTCCAAGGCTCCAACTTTGAAAGTGTATTTGCCTAGCCACGTGTATCAATCTAAAAGGGATGGTTTTGGTAAATTATGATTTAGAAGCTACTATCATTTTATGAATTATTCATTACAATCACTTTGGCTCGAGATTTGGACTGTCATTCTTTTATTACATAATTAGATTATATATTTCAATTTATACTACTGGTTGGGATATATTTTCATTTCTTATTTTGTGCATTAATGCATCGTTCATTTTATGGATTTTTTCATTATCCTTAAAAGGTGCGATTTGAGATCATGTGAGCAAACAATAAACTACACACCAACCTTGCTACGATTTAGAAGCCAATCGATACGTGTTATTGAAACTATATTCCAAAATATTCACATTAAAACTCTACACAGTGGTCGTATTCATCTTGAAAACTCATAATCGAGTCTTATTCTCTAATTTTATGATATTCTTTTAAATCAACCAAAAACTTTAAAAAATCACGTATTTAAAAGTTTTCAACCATTGGTTTGTTTTAGCTTTTTAAAATTTTCTGAACATCCATTTTTAATTTTAGCTTTGGGTAATCATGATAAATAATATTTAATAAAATAAGTAAACATAAAACGAAATTTTGACATCAAAGAAACGTGACATTTATACTTATTTTTTTTCCCTTAAAAGTTAAATCTCATTTATGTAATTCAAATTATCCGATGGAATTTTAAATTATTTACAAAATTTATTAATTTGAATTCAAAATGATAATTAAATTACTGTTCATCAAATTATACCCTAGGTTAACACTTGCCCACCCAACAAAAATGGTTCATCGTTACTATCCTAGTTATTCACATATTTACCCATTCATCAGTCCTTTCAAATCCTTTAACAACAACAAACATAAATTTCCACACGTGAGACGGAAAATTGATTTGATACGTTAATACTGTTAACTTATCCACCTATATTAACACACTGTTCACTCAACGAGCATGCTATTTTCTAAATCCTCAAAATCAAAGCCCTAATCGAACACACAAAATCGTCTAGATAGAAAAAACCTCCAATTCAAAAGCATGCTCCATAAATTGAATGTAAGGCGTGTGTTTTAATACGAGTGTACAAGTTAACAGTGTTAATGTGTCAAATCAGCTTTCAGCCTCACATGTGGAGATTTTTGTTAGTTATGTCTAATGAATTTTAAAGGAATAATTAATGAGTAAACAAGTGAATCAATGGTAAGAAATGAGTAGTTTTTTGTTGAGTGGGTAACTAATAACTTAGATATAATTTTGATGAGAAGTGATTTAATTAATTCATAATTAATTGCATGCCAACACCTTTTCAAGATTCCTTGGCCAAGTATATTTCTTCTTCTACCTTCTCAATATAATACAACAATCAAACCCCAAAATTCATTTTCAAATTAAGCAATAACCTAAAACCCTGATGTCGAATCATGGGTTGATTACGGAGGATGCACCGAAAAGCTCTTTAATGGACGCCAAAATTCAATACCCCAAATTAGAAATCGACAACTTTCAGACAAAAATTTGCCCTCCGAGGGTAACTTTCAACAAGGCTCTTCCTCTTCTATAAAATATTTTTTAATTTTTTTTTTATATTTGACAAGTTTATTTTTTTATTGACGGAGTAAATGGATCGTGATTATTGTGATTTTTACTCGTTGCGATTGAATAGGATTAATGGATATATTGATACATGAAGATTAGAGCTTTTCTATTTTTGTGATAAAATATTGTTTGATTAGTTGAATGTTTGGAGCTAACTGGTTGTTCTGAATTTCATGGTGAATTTTGCTTGTGCGCATATTATATAGGGAGTGAATGAAGTTTTAGACCATTGCTGGATTGTTTCTATTAATTGATTGCCAGCTGAGCCACGAGTAATGTCCATTAATTGTTGTATGAAATAAGTTAGACATGAAGGATGACGCAATGAACCAATGGGCTTCAACCATAAATGCGGCATATGGATACCGTCAGATAGGTCAATGTTAATTCTGGAGGAATTGAGAATGGAAATGGCAAATTGGATTGCCTTTAATGCCTAGAAACACGTGGCGTTATTTACTTTACCAATGGAAATTTTTCTATAATGAATCAAATGTTCACCAAATGTTCTAACTATGATGCAACTTAGAACAGAGACCAAGTGTCCTCCTTTGGAAGTTGTTTGCCATAGATGATTTGAGTTCAAAAAGTTATATAATGATTTTGATTTTTGAAGTGTAGAGACATAGGGATATTTGTTCAAGAAAAATTGGAGTGTAGAAAATGATAAAGACACATTGGGTGAATTGCAGTGAAAAAAAGTGCGTGTTATTAGAAAATAGGGAATTTCCTGTTAGAAGATGGAACTGTGAAACAGAAAAGTACTTCATCATAGGCTATTTAACGCGTAACAGACTGATGTTTACCCCCAAGGCAGTTTGATCACTATAATAAGAATTTGATTTTCAAGAAGTTGAAGTTAGTATAATGTCAAAAGTAGGTGGATATGTAGTTAGTAAATATAAACATCAAAATTAAATATAACTAAGGACATGTGGATCTATGCATCTATAGTCTTCATTTCAAATCTTTTCTTTTTCCTAAGATGAGTGTTCACGCATAACGCATTATAATTAGCATAGTAATGTTCTCACCCTCGGAGAGTGATTTCTATTGATGCATCATCTGTATGAAGAAAATGGAATGGTGCAGTACTGCTGAAGTTTTTCAAATAATTTTAATTTCCTAGTTATTGATATTCAGGTATATGAAGGTGTTGATGAGCACATGGGAGACTGTAACATGGAAGCATTAGAGAATTTTAAGCTCAAAGAGGATACACGTAGTAGAGATGAAGAAATGACCGTGGCTGCAGTGGATGATGAGGTGCAAAGAGATTTAGCTGCTGGAAATAAAAAGCTAAGAAAATATTTTTACTATGACACGCCACTTTCTGAGGATACAGGCATTTGGATACCTGTCTCTGTTCCACCAATGCTGGAAACTGAAAGAACAGAATGGAATAAGGATCTCTATTTCAACGGGGGCTACTTGCCTGATGGTGACATGGGTTGGAATGAATTTATTGGAGAAGATAAGGAGATGACTATGTGGGATGTGGTTCTTGATGTGTTACTGGCAGCCAGAGGAAAAATTAGTGCTTTCTCATCTGGTGACATTCATGGATATAGTATCTCCTGGATGCAAACCCATCTTCTAGAGGAAGCTTGGAAAGAGATGGCTCAAACTCTTACAGATGCTAACTTTGGTAAAATGAAGGAAATACTCGAATCTGAACCACCAAAATGGTTGCCTGACAGTTCTGCTTCTGCATGCATGCTGTGTAATGTGCGTTTTCATCCTATCATGTGTTCTAGGCACCATTGCAGACTTTGTGGCGGGATTTTTTGCAATGGATGCTCAAGGGGAAGGAGTTTGTTGCCTTTAAAGTTCAGAACTGAAGACCCTCAACGAGTCTGTGATGCATGCTGTGTGCGGCTTGAGTCTGTTCAGTCATGCTTAATGGACCGAGTAAGTCGTGCTGCACAGTTACCAACTCATGATCTGACGGACCTAAGTACAATGAGATCATGGTTGAATTTTCCATGGGGCCAATCTATGGAATATGAAATATACAAGGCAGCAAACACCATTCGAGGTTATAATAAGGTATGCATTTTTCCCCCTTAATTTAGGGAGCTAATATTTCTTTTTCACCTTAAATTACTCATTTATTTAGAATGATTGCATTGCCTATTCTTCTCTTGAAACACATAACTATCGGGCTTATGAACCGAAAAAAATATCAATGGGGGACTTCTGTACTGCTCTATGCATATTGTTGCATAGTATCTTAAATACAATCTACGTAAGGCTTCGATACATTACACAATCGAGAAAATTATACAGGTGCAGGTGCTATTCGAGAACAATTAGCCGGTTCTAGATTTATGAACTATTCTAGATAATACATTGGAATAATTCATTGGTAGGATGGAAACAATTAGGAGGGTTTTGCTTTCATTCATTTTTAGATGAGATATCTCTGTCTCACACTTAGACAGGAATTGACAACCTAATGAAAGCCTTTTCAATTGTTTTTTGAGTGCCCCACCCCTCTCTCGATCTCTTTTTCTTATGATATTTCATCTTTTCTTACATCACAAATGCTTCTTAGTGCCAAAGATAGGGTACTCTCTTGTTATTGATGCTCTAGAGAGATCTTCCAGTAGAAATGGTGAAGACTGATGGTGGAGACCGAGAAAAGACAAGGAGAAAGGCAAGTGAATATGGGCATTTGTTCAATGGGAAAAATTAAAAAATTATAGCAGTTCTAGACCCATAGAAGTTTTGTCAAATCATAAAATTCATAATCGAAGAGAAGATGATTTGGTAAATTGGAGCAGAAACGTGGTAGCTCTGAATCACTTGTCTTCTGTTTCAGAGAATGGGGAATTGAAGTTTAAGGGAAATTCAGTTATTCAATCTGTGGAGCGCAGATATCAGCTACCTTTATGTATCTACCTAAATAAAACTGTGTTTCACCTGATTTTCAGCATGCGATTAGCAACTGTTATACCTAACTTTGAAGCTACGACACGTACTTAAAATGCATTATTTCATAATTATATCACCATTTCAAGAATTCTTATTTGTTGAGTTACAGCATTGAAGTCCCTTTTGAATCCTTTCTATACTTTCAAATGATCATCAAGAGTTTCTGTTAGCAAATAGAGTCCACTTATGGGTAAGATCTCACGGGGTCATTATTGTCAGGTTGGATCTCGGAAACCTGAGAAGTCCATACCAAATGCAATCCTCAAGGATGCTAAGGGCCTTGCTATTCTAACTGTTGCAAAGGTTGGCATGATGGTTACTTACAACATTGGGACAGGGTTAGTTGTTGCTCGTAGAGAAGATGGATCTTGGTCTCCACCATCTGCCGTTGCATCCTTCGGTTTGGGTTGGGGAGCACAGGTGAGTGCGTGTTTATGTACTTAACGTTTGTGCTGTTCCAAATACTTGTCTTTGAAGACATTACTAGCTCTTGCCTATTGTACTTGCACACATGATCTTAAACTTTATGTCTCAATTATTTTTCTTTGTTAATCCGTTTGATGCTTTTCATGAGGAATAAAATTAATTTTATGCTTTAGAATTTGAACCCCATATTTCAACTTGTTATCAATATTTCCTATTGTTATGAAGTAAAATGATTAGTGGTAAAGACGAGGCTAAAGTAGCTCCTAATAATACAGTTATCATGTCAATGAGGTCGTGGAGAATCGGAGATTGACAAAGATCACGAAATTTGATGAAAATTACAACTTTAACATAATTATGTATGTAATTGTATTTAGCATATTATATAATTGTATTTAGTATATTCAGATTGATATCGTAGTTGTATAAGATAAAACACTTCTTATATAATGTGAGGAATCTCTCAAGTAAAGATAATTCAGTTAAATGTTTGTCATGGTAACAGAGCCTACATTGTAGACTTTATACTGAATCCTCGATTTTCATTGGGCATAATTTAGCCTCTCGGGTGTGGATTTCTTGTGGGGTCCATGGTTGAGAGAATTGTTGTCAATGTGTGAATCTTGTGGTTGATAGTCGATGGTTGACATAATTTTTTGTCAACGTGTGACTCTTGTGGTAGTTGATGGTTGACATAATTTTTATTATCGTGTGACTTTTGTGGTTGTCGATGGTTGATAGAATTTTTATCAACGTGTGACTTTTGTGTGACTTCGGTGCATTGAGTTCTTTTGTGGGCGGTCCATTGGGTCTTATTTTGAAAGGGTGGAGCCTGTGCATATGGTTATTTTTGGACTGTCCATTCGAGTTGGGCCTTTTGAGTTCTTTTGTACATTATTCAACAAATTGATGCTTCTTGATCATTTAGCATTAATTTGAGTGAGATGTCAATGAGATTATGAAGATTGATAAAAATCACAAAGGTGGATGAAGATTATGATTTAACATAATTATGTATGTAATTGTATTTAACCTATTATATAATTGTATTTAGCATATGTAGTATTTAGATTGATACCATAGTTGTATAAGGTAAATGTTCTTATATATTGTAAAGAATCCCTTGAGGAAAGATGATTCGGTCAAAAGTTTGTCATATCATCCCTATCAACAAATTCATCATGTAAGGTATAACTCTAAAAAGAGGAAGAGGGTGACTACAAGAAAAATTTCCAGCTCCTACCATAGTCTTCGTCGATGTAGCAGATAGGCAAGAAAGGAGAATATCTTTTTTCATTTTTACCAAAAAAAAAAAAAAAATGGAGAAAGTGGTGGCCCTCCGCTAAAAAAATTCTTTTAGTACTATTCATTCATTATCTATGTTAAGCAGATGTTCTACGGATACAAGATATTTGATGCACAAACTCCCTTTTTTTTTAATTCTGGAAGAATACAAGGTATTGTTATGTACCAGAATGTTAGGCATTTGTATCTCTGTCGTGTGTACTAGTTATTGGTATGTATTAATCTCTGTCTTGTGTACTGTTGTCTTTACAGGTTGGTGGGGAAGTGACAGATTTCATAGTAGTGTTGAGAACAAATTCTGCCATCAAGACGTTTGGTGGGAACATTCATTTTTCAGTTGGAGCTGGTTGCAGTGCTGCTGTTGGTATTGTTGGAAGGGCCGCTGAAGCTGATTTACGAGCTGGTGATGGTGGTTTTGCTTCTTGCTATACATACAGCTGCAGTAAAGGTACTGACTGAGTTATCTTTAGCATTGAAATTTACGCCTAGAAATCCAAAAATTGCTGCTAATATAGGAACAGTAGTCCAGTCTGCATAATATCATGTCTACTATTCTCAATGTTGCTATTATGTTTTTCATTTGTTATGATTGATTGAGTTATGATGGCCTCGGACAAAGCTAAGAGCATGTTTGGCAAAGCTTAAAATCCAATTAAAATTGAAAATATAGTCGTTATTGAGTCTCACTCGTCTAATAAAAGTCAACAATAACGACTCATTTTTCAATTTTAGCCCCTGTTTGGTACACATTAAAATTTTCATTCTCATTCTTCTACTCATTTTCAACCACACATTTTTCAATAAAATAATATTTTCCATCACACCAATAACTTTTTCTTCATTTTCAACCACACATTCTCCATCAATCTATTATTCTAAAATACATTCTTCCAAAATAATGTGGCTCAAACACACCCTAATATGATTTTAATCCCTACCGAACACGCCCTGAAACTTGTTAAAGATAAATAATTTGATGACTTCAGATTGACACACAGCAAGAACCACCGCCCATTTTTTTGCCCTTTTTGGCAGATGCAAACCAATTTTATATTAAATCTGTTTCATTTTGATTCTCATTTGTTGATCCATTTATGATATTATCATCAGTTTGTTAATACATCGTGGGACCGTAAAACATTCAACCAGGCAGAGTTGTTGCCTTGATATTTTGAATAGAATAAAAATACAATTAATCAGCGTTAAATCTTTGCTGCCTCGATCCCTTTGAACCATTAAAATGACTGGATTATAATGTAATGTGAAACTCGATATACAAAATATAACTGAAAATTGTCTTTACAGGTGCATTTGTCGGTTGTTCCCTCGAAGGAAGTATCGTAACAACAAGAAAACAAGTTAATTCCAGGTTTTACGGGAATTCGTCCATTAGTTCATCAGAAATTCTTCTTGGTTCAATGCCTCGGCCTCCTGCAGCTTCCTTGCTCTATCACTCATTATCAGAATTATTTCAGAAGCATTAAAATTGACTGATATGGTAAATAATATTTCTTTAAATCCTCACATGAATGCTGTTAAGATTGAGAAATTATATTCTCGTGTATATTCTATGTTGCCTTAAAATCCCTCTTCTATTCTTTGATCACGATCAAGAACCTGAAAACAAGAATGGTTGTATATTATAAGGAAAATCGCAATAGAGAGAAGCACTTGGGAGTATATAGATTGCATTTTAATTCTTAGACGATGAAAATTATTATATTTAACTTTAGGGTCCGTTTGATAGCCTAGAAAATGGGTGGGAAAGGAAAATATTTTTTAACTTTAACCAATTAAGGGTGTTTGATAGCACAAATTTTCCTGGCAAAATGTTTTCCACCTTTTTCTAGATACAATCCTTTGATGCACAAAAGCTTGATTTTGTTTTCCCACCT